CTAAGCCTAAGAGGATAAGCCTGCTGACCTGCTTCCAAAGTCTGAATAGTCCCTAGGATAAAATCTGTGGAAGGGCTTGAACTGCCTTGGCAATACCTGCCCCCCATCATTCTCAACCCATAAATTAACCTACTCCCAGCCTGGAAATCTTTATCCTGCCACTGCCCAAAGACCATAATACTCAGGCATGTGGCTGTTAATGTCTCATAATCATCATTCTAAAGCAACAAGTTAAGATTATCCAGCAGAGCTAATAGATAGCTTCAGAAATAAAGGAAAAATTTTATGCAATCAAATCAAACCAGACTGAAAAGCTTCCCATATCAACCCTAGGTTTCTGAAAGAAAAGAAAAAGGGAATATGAAGGACAGGAAAAAAGACATGGACACACACACACACACACACACACACACACACACACACACACACACACACACAATTTCAGTTTCCCTAAATGACATTAGTGCTGTTTAATTATCTCTCCCTGCTTAAATTATGACTTGGTACAGGGGAGATATTTTGCTTTCTTTATAGTTCTAATACTCATCATAATACAAATTGCTGTAATTGAATTGTTTCCAGATTTAGCCATCAAGAACACCTATATAAGATCTTTTAGATAGATTCGACAGACATACCATGCAAAAATCTCAGATTCTAGGCTGTATCAGGCCACACCTAAGGCTCTGCACAAGGTGTCTACTGGGTAGTAACCTTTGGGAAACATAATAGCGTTACCTCCTGGAATATAATGGTTCCAAGAAGGTGCAGTTTGAGTCCAATCCAACATTTAGTTCTTGTTCCATATGTCCCAATGAGCTATTTGGTTCACCAGAAGTTATACTACTACAAAGGAAGAGGCTCGTGTCTCAAACTCTTGGATAAACATCTTTTCCCCCTGTGCTAGGGATTGAACTCAGGGCCTTGTACATAGTAGTCAAGGGATCAGGGATCTTACCACAGAGCTACAACCCCAGGATAAATATGCAGGTAAATTACAAGCAGAAGTTACTTCTACTGATAGTATACTATACAGGAAAAGGGACCAAGTTTCATTATGAAAATAAGCCAGATAGTCAAGGCTTTCTGAATCTCAGATTGTTATAAAAGGAGTATATCTGTGTGTATGTCAGTAAATTATTTCCCTCAGAACAAAAACAACAAGACAAAGCTAGTTTAAAGAGATCCAGTTACTTGGGGGCTGGGAAGGTGGCTCAGTGGTTGAGTGTTTGCCTTGCATGCATAAGGCCCTAGGTTAGATTCCTCAGCACCACATAAGCAGAAAAGGCCAGAAGTGGCACTGTGGCTCAAATGGTAGAGCACTAACCTTGAGCTGAAGAGCTGAGGGACAGTGCCCAGGCCCAGAGGTCAGGCCCCACAACCAATTAAAAAAAATAAAAAAGTTACTTAGTGCTAGGAGCTGGTGGCTCATGCCTATAATCCTAACTACTCAGGAGGCTGATCTGAGGATCTTGGTTTGAAGACAGCCTGAGAAGGAAAGTATGTGAAACTCATCTCCATTTAATCACCAATGAGCTGGAAGTAGAGCTGTGGCTGGAGTGGTAGAGCACTAGCTTTGAGGGGGGAAAAAAAGTTCAGGGACAGAGCCCAGGCCCTGAGTTAGGAGAAAGAGGAGGAGGAGGAGGAGAAGGTCAAGAAGGACGAGAAGGAGGAGAAGGAGGAGAAGGAGGAGAAGGAGGAGGAGGAGGAGGAAGAGGAGGAGGAGGAGGAGGACCAATTACCTAAGCAAAAGCTTTAAGATTATATATAGGTGAGTATCTGTACCTCTGAACCTCTTCTCATCCCCAAATAAGCCTCACAGCACACTCTGTCCTGGGCAGCCAGCTTGTGTCCTCATGTGCACATGTGTGCATATGGGAGAAGGGGGCAATATGCTGGAGAGAAATGCCTCAGAGCCAAGAGCCCACAAATTATGGTAGATGCTCAGCTACATTCCCATATAAGCCAGGAATACTGGCTTATTGAACAAATGTCCCAGGGCCCTGGCAACCTGTAGCTGCAGTTTGCTGGTATCCACCTCTAGATCAGTTTCCCTTTAAAATAAATGAAGAGGAATCTCCTCAGAGCACAGCTGGGCAAGAGGGGACTCTCAGATTGAAGTAGTCTAGAACTCATGCCCCACTCCCTTGAGGAAACTATACTAACTAACTGGATCTGGTCCTAGTTGAGTTCCCCAGAACATCCTTACCTCCCCCAACCTACTCCACCCCAGCCCTCTCTGGACTGCCTGTGCCATAGCCAGTCAAGTTATGTTGGACTGTGCCAAATGAACAGAGATAAACATTCCCAGAAAAGAAACACAAGGCTGCTGCTCCTCCCCTCTCAGGCAAACATCCAGGTGACCAGAAAAGGGAGTCTTATTGCCAGAGGAGATCCTACATGAGCCCCAGAGGGCCTGATACAGGGCAAGGGGAAAAGGCCTGAACTCCCGGGGAGAATTCTTGGGAAGTTATAGGACTCATCAGGGAAGGCTCTCTCCTAGTTTCCCCACGGCAGCCAACATTTTTGGGGAATGGGGCTCACACTAGCTAATGGAAGAGAGCAGAGAAGACTACCATGACTCCCAACACTACAATCTGCCCTCAAGTCACACAGATAGTACACACAAGGTACACACAAACAAAGGATTATAACCCAAGCCTATCAAAGTCTTTTCCAATGTTCTGACAGCCCAGCAACAGAACAGTGACCTATTAGCAGTCCTCTCTGGTGCTTATCACCAGCTATCAGCTGACATGGATCAAAACATCTCTCTCTGATCCCTAGACACAACAAAGCAGAGTCAAATTGGCAAAAGGAACTGTAAGTAGTGAAAAGGCCACAACTCTAAACCCCACGGACGCTTTCTCCTTCCAACCTCAAAACCACCGGGCAAGGGCTCTGGCTGACACCTGCCCAGTTGAACTGCTAGACTCAGCCCCCGCTACTTACACACTTCCAAGTAGACTTGCAGGTTTCTCAAGCATCCTCCCCTCTCCTGCAACCAGGAACTTCCACTCCAGGAGCTGTGCCCAACCATTCAAACCAAAGGACTCTATTGCAAAATCATGGAAAGACCTCTACCCTCATTTCTGGGGGTGGGATCTCAGCAACCACCTAAATGTCACAGTCCCATGAAAGTCATGGGACTACAGTTCACAGAGAAAATGTCTGGGGTCTGCGATCTCTCTCGCCTCTCTCCAAAATGTTGGCTTCCAGGAAGTCCTTTTGAGCAGTCAATCTCAGAATCTACTTAGCAACACCGCTAACTGGTGACAAGTTAACAGGGACAGCATTTTACAAAACAAAACAGCTCAGATGACCATTGTGTCTTTTCCTATTTTTGCAAAAAGACCCTATGGCTCAAACACCAATCTGGATGAATGTTAGTGTACTTTAATTGGCTAATTGATTTTTCTTCCATTCTGCATAATGCCCAGGCAACAATCAAAAACAAAAACAAAACCCTGGTCTCTCTGTGGCCTATAGACTTGAACTCTTCCTTCTCCGTTGTTCAAAGCCATTTCCATGGCACTCTGAGAAAATGAAACTTCAAGGTCGCAAACAAATTGTATTACTATCATATCAGATTGTGTACCTGGTACCTACCGTGAGCCTTGTATCTAAAGTACACAATCTCATTTAATCCTAAAAGTAATTCTATCAGGTAAGCTTCAACAAGCCCATTAACACATGGAAGAAACTCTATGTAATATTAGTGAAACCAGACATTCATCTATAGGACAGAAATTCAACTTCCTTGTTGTATAGGATAACTCTGCTTCCCAGACTAACCACCCTGTCCTAAGGAATTCAACTTTCTGCTTGATGAAAAGTCCTCCTCATAGCAACAGTTCACATTTGACCAATTCCAAGAAGTTCCTTCCAAACTTGATATGAAAATATTGAAGTAATTATTGAAGAAATTGAGCAAGAGCATGCAGGAAGGCCTGTTCTGCCAGGGCTCTCCGGGAACGTGACAGTGCTACTGGCAGGATGCCTGCCAGCCAGCCAGGGCCCCTTACTCAGAACAACATTCTTTAAAACCTGCCCTTAGAAATGAGCAGCCACCTGTTTGGTAACACTGGGAGCAACCTGTGGCTACTTTGGGCATGGATTACAGGTCAAGAAGAGATCCAGACTGGGGCTCAGCCTTGACCAGACACGAATGCAAATCCACTCACTGAAGCCCCTTAGGTAGGCTGAAACCTGCAGGGGTTCATTCAGAGCATATATGGACAAGTAGTGTCAAAGAGAGAAAAAAAAAAAATCAATCAATCCCTTGATAACTAGTTACATTTTAGTTCTCCAACCTCCAGAGTGCACAAGCCCTCTGTCCCTGAGAGGATCTTCCAGCTCGCTCTGTTTTGGGGAACTTTCAGGAGTAGGAAGTTGGGGCTGGGGAGGGAGGGGGGAGGGGACATGAGGGCCTCAGGTCAGGGATCTACCCAGAGGCAGAAATGCACACGAAGGCGGAAAAAACTTAACTGAGAGTTTACCCTCACTAATTAAATCCTCATTTACATGATTCCATTTTCTCTCCCAAAACAACTCTCTCCCCCCTCCTCCAAACATCTTATCATTTGTTATCTCTGCGTATCCAACACAAACTTTCGAGAAGCTAAGTCACTTTGCCCAAAGGCTCAGGGAAAGGGGGGGGAAGTTAACCCATTCTTAGCAGAGCGACTCTATGAGAAGACCCCGAAAGGTGAACGCTCTTCCTCAAGGTCCCCAAAGTCGAGCGGGTTACTCGGAGTTCCTGAAGGTTCCAACTCAGGGTTTGCCTGGCCAGGCTGTTCTCACCCACACTGAGCCGACTCCCAAACTCGCCGAGCCTCGGCCTGCTGGCTTCCCCAACGGCCCCTCTCTGCTCGACCCGGCCCGGATCCTCAGACTAGGGATCCGGGGGAAACTGGCAGTCGTAGAAGAGAAGGCGTGGGGGAAAGTCCGGCGGACCCCGGCCGGGAAATCCGGGGGGAGTCCCCGACCCAAGTTCTTACTGAGCAGCGGAGACTCCTCGGGGCAAGCGGGCAGCGACCGCGCAGCGGCGGGGGACCCCGAAGTCAAGTTGCTGGCGGGGCTGGAGTCGCGGCTCGACCGAGGCTCTGAGGAGACGCCTAGAGGCGGCGGCGGCCGGGGCCCCCGGGAGCGGGGCTCCCCGGAGGGCTGCGCGCCGACGGGGGCGCCGTTCGAGCCGCCCTGCGGCGACGTGGAGACCCCGACCAGCTGGGGCAGGCGGCTCAGGTCGCGGCCGGCCAGGTAGTAGACGAGGGTGACGCCGAGGTGCAGCGCGCAGACGGCCACGAGCAGGCGGCAGGCCCGCTGCAGCGTCGCGCCGGGCATCGCCGCGCTGCCGCCCAGGAGCGGCTCCCGAAACCTCATCTTCCCGCCGCGGCTTTAAGAGGGGGGGTGGGCTACGGGCAGAGAGGACCGCCCGCCCGGCCGGCCGCCCGCCCGCCGGACGCTAAGCGACCACGGCGACCGGGGGAGGGGCGAAGGGAAGGGGGGAGGGGGGGGAGGGAGGGAGCGAGCGCCGAGCCGGCCGAAAGCCGACACTCCCGGCTTAGGCTCCGCAGCCACCAGAAGGGCGCCGGAGGCGTGGGCGCGGGCGGGGCGGGGCCGCCGGCGGGGGCGGAGCCTCATTGGGCGCGGGGCCGCCGGCGGGCGGGGCCTCCTGGGGCGGGACCGCACCGACAGCACCTCCTCCGCGGAGGCTGGGCTGCGGGGGCCGCCGCCAGGGGCGGGGCCTTTTCGGGACGAGAGGGTGAGAGGAGGGCGGGGCCTCCTTGGTGCGGAGCCGTCGGTGGGCGAGGCCTAATGGGGCGGGACCGCATGGACGGCGCCTCCTTGAGAGGATGCGCTGCGGGGACCGGAACCGCTTGCTCGGAGGGGGCGCGGCGCGGCGCGGCGTGGGACTGTCCGGGGTGGAACCTCGAGGGTCTCACGCCCAGCCGCACCCCGCCTAACTCTTCTTCCTGAGCGTGCACGGTGAGGAGCCGCTGCCTCCTGCTCCAACAAGCCGCCCTCGGCCGGCCCCAGCACTTCCTGGGGTACAGGCCTGGCACGAGGGCGGTGAACCGAGAAGTTTGACTTTGGAAGGGGTTGGGGCGCCTCGCACGCCGGTGAGCTTCCAGTAGGCCTGGCGGGTGAGCTGCCCAGTGGAGAGCCAGTTGTCCCGGAAACTGGCGTCGATGCCCGGCGAGAACTGGGGCGGTGGCCGAGGACTTGTCCGGGATGTTTGAAACTCCGCTGTCTCACCCTGGCCCGGGCGGGCGGGGCGGGCGGTGGGGGCGGTGCGTGGAGGCCTGCGCGCAAACCCGGCCTGCAGGGATCCCCGGCGGCGAGGAAAGTGGATGCGCGGTAGCTTCTCTCGCCCCGCTGTGGAGTACGCCTGGCTAGGGAGTCAAAGGCCAGTCAGTGCAGCTCGGTTTTCAGTGCAGAGGACGCCTGTAGCGCAGGGCACGGGGTGAAGATACAGGCTCTGAGTCGGGACGCCTGCTTGTTTTCTGTTAGCACTACCCGGCATCACAATGCCATGAAGTAGTAAACCCCATCCGCAGGTAAAAGAGTTCAAGAAGCCTGGTGAAGTGGCACATTCCTGTAATCCCATACTTTGGAGGTGGAAGCAGAGGAATCCAGAGTTCCAAGCCAGCCTGAGGCTACAGGATGAGACCCTGGTTCAAAAAAAGAACGGAAACAGCTTTTCACAGTTGTATAGTTAACTGGGCAGTTCTGCTTCACATGGTATCAGCTGTGAAGCATTGGTACAGTTGGTAGTTCCAAAATGGCCTCATGTGGCTGGTCATTGTTTCTGGCTGAAGGCTGGGAGCTTAGAGCTCAGAATGGATTGTGGATCATGGGCCTCCATTCTCCATATTGGACTCTTCCCAAAGGCCTTTTAATGTGGCTACTTGAATTTCTTCAAAATGAGGGATGTGTTCCAAAAAAAACCATTTGAAGAACAAGGCAAAAAAGGATACAGATTTCTTAAGGCATTATTTTTGGTTAAAGCAAGTTACAGGGCAGTGTAGATTTAAGTGAAGTGAAAACAGACTTCATCTTTGTTGGTGATGGTGGTAGTGGTGGTCGTGGGGCTTGAAATCTGGGCCTGGGCACTGTCCCTCAGCCCTTCAGCTCAAGGCGAGCGCTCTACCACTTGAGCCATAGCACCACTTCCAGTTTTCTGGTGCTTAATTGGAAATAAGAGTCTCATGGACTTCCCCTTCCCAGGCTGGCTTTAAACCACGATCCTCCTATCTCAGCCTCCTGAGTAGCTAGAATTACAGGTGTGAGCCACTGGTGCCCAGCAGACTCCATCTCTTGATGAGAAAAGAGGCAAAGAATTGACAGGGGTCTTTAATCCACTATAGTTTGAACACTGTCAAACTGTAATCCTAGGCTATTTAGGATACTGAGATCTAAGTATTGAGGTTCAAAGCCAGCTCAAGCAGGAAAGTCCATGAAATTCTATTTCCAATTAAGTACCAAAAAGCTGGAAGTGAAGCTTTAGCTCAAATGGTAGAACACTAGTTTTGAGCAAAAAAGCTCAGGGACAGAGCCTATGTCCTGAGTTCAAGCCCCAGAATTGGAACACACACACATACCACAGCTCTCCTCCCAAGACCTTCTTGAAGATTAATCCTGTTAAGACTTCAGCACAGCCAGGTACTGGTAATTCACACCTGTAATCCTAGCTACTCAGGAGACCGAGATTTTAGGATTGCAGTTCAAAGCCAGCCCTGGCAGGAAAGTCCATGAGACACTTATCTCCAGTAAAACATCAGAAAACCAGAAGTGGGTGGCTCCAGTGGTAGAGTGTTAGCCTTGAGCTGAAGAGCACAGAGACAGAGCCCAGGCCCAGAGTTCCAGCACTAGAATCTGATCATATAAATCAGCACCAAGTATGATCCCTCAAGTTCAGGGACCTATACATTATATAAAAAATTACCTTTTCCTCTTTCTCTTCTCCCTATTCCTGAGCAATTGAATTCAAGAGTCAGGGTGAACAAGGTAAATAGTCTAAAAGCTATGGAAAGCAAAGCCAACTAGAGTGAGAAGGAAGGGTAGAGATGGGGTGGGAAGAATAGCAACCCAACCTAGAGAATACCTAAGCACAATCAAAAGGAGACCTGTGCCAGATACAAGTCGTTTACATCTGTACATCTGCTACTCAGGAGGCTGATATTTGAGGATCCCATTTCAAAGCCAACCAGGGCAGAAAAGTCTCAAGACTCTAAACAGCAAGAAATGCTGGATTGGAGGTGTGGCTCAAGTGGTAGAGCACCAGCCTTGAGCAAGAATGCCAAGCTAAAGTGTAAGGCCCTGAGTTCAAGTCCCTGTACACACACACACACACACACACACACACACACACACACACACGGTGGAGGCATTCAGGAAGTAATCAGAACCTGAGCTTGATGCTGGGGCTTTTATGAAATAGAGCACCCTAGGACAAGTTGTTGAGCCCAAATAAGGAGATTGTTAAAAATAGATTAAGAACTACATTTGTGGATAGCCACATATATGTGGATAAGGAGAATTATCCAAGTCTCTGACTCTGTGTCAGGGAGAGTTAGACAAATATATATGTGTATATATATATATATATATATATACACACACACACATATGTATGTGTATAAGAAAGCTAAAATCATTTAGTACTTTATTCAAATTTGAGAAAAAGTTTGAATTTATTTTTAACTTAGAGATATTTCCCATTTATTATTTACTTTTGCATTGCTGGTGATTGAACCCAAAAACTTATGCATACTTGGCAGGGACTCTGTCACTGAACTACACCAGTCAGTTGCTCAATTTACAGACAGCTAATGACATGAATACAGACATAAGAGAATGTGTGTCTGGGAGCAGAAATTTCCCAGTGTAATGAGCGCATTTAGCACCCAGACCTTGGTTTCTAAACACCATTCAACAATAAAAGGACCTGAGAATTCTTGGAGAAAGCCTAACTGTGGAGTATTACAACATGAACCTGGAATGTCTTATGCTGGAACGTAAGGGGAAGAGCTCAAAGGATGATGACTTGTGAAAAGGACAGGACACGGAATCCAATTTGAAGGGCTCCCATTGGTCAAATATGCAACAAGAAACATGAAAATAAATATGACTGGGCACCAGTGGCTCATTCCTATAACCCTAGCTACTGGGGAGTCTCAGATCTAAGGATCAAGATTGGAAGCCTGGGGCAGAGGTGGGGTTTGTGGGAGAGGAGGAGGGATCCAAAGCCGACCCAGGCAAGAAAGTCCATGAGATTCTTCAACTAAGCACCAAAAATGCCAGAAGTGGATCTGGTAGCACACTAGCCTATGCAAAGAAGCTCAGGAACAGTAGCCAGGCCCTGAGTTCAAGCCATAGCACCAGCACAAAAAGAAAAGAAGGGAGAAAAGAAAGAATGAAAAGGAAGGAAGGAAGGAAAGAAAAAAAGGAAAGGGAAAAAGAAGAAATATAGGTAGGAATAGCTTATGATCCATTGAAATGTAAGGAAATTGTGAGTCAATAGTGACATAAATAATTGAAGTTTAATGAGTACACAGATTATAAATAATTTCATACCACTCTATGAAATACTAATGTTTTACTAATGTTTCAATTGGAAGCACCAGAGAAATACAAATTGTCAGATGTTAGCATTATAGTAGTCAAGGGAAAACAGGCAAACTGTTCCAATTCCAACTAGAGACTAAAGAGAAATGACAACTAAGTACAACATGTGTTTCTTGGGAATCCTCTGCTATAGACAATATTGTTGGGATAGTATTGTTGAACAGGAACTAGCATTGAGGGTAGGATGATATCATCTGCGGATGTTAATTTCCTGGTTTTAATGGTTGTATTGTAGTTATATTAGAAATAGGCACTAAGAGATCTGAGGACAATATGGTATCATGTCAAACTTATTCCTAAGTAGTCAAAAATTTATTTGTTCTACACTGCAGCTTTTCTGCAAGTTGTTTTCCTGACATCCAATACATAATGGAAAATAAGGGACAGGAAAACCACAGTAGACACTCCTATTTAGAAAGGAGGTTATTAAGAGGCATAGTACAACCATTAGGAGATCTGAAAAGCAATCACATACTGTGGACAATTCCCTAGGCCCCACAGCTCCAAGGGCAGGAAGTATGATTTTCTATGGCTCCTATCTCTACCCTCTGAACTAGGCTAAGAGAGTAGGGCTCAGAGGGTAGAATTTTTCCTCTGAGCCGTTCTTCCTAAGATCCTCAGAAGTACTTTTGTCTAAATTAGGATGGGAGGCACACCTTGCATCTTTCTGAGGTATTTTTATTGCAAGTTTTTCTTTTTCTTCTTTTCTTTTTTTTGTTTTGTCTTTTTATACAAGGTCTCACTATGTAGCCCAGGCTGGGTTTGTTGTAATAGAGACCATATGACTGCAAAATCTAAAGTATTTACTAGCTGATCTTTTATAGAAAAAAATGTTTTTTAACCCCTGATTTATTGCT